TTTTTTTTTTTTTTTTTTTTTTTTTTTTTTTTTTTTTTTTTTTTTTTGCTAAATTCTTTATTGCTGGTCTCATAAAAACCCAGGATGGTGAGAAATTAATATTTTTGTAAGTAGTTTGATGCCCTAGAATTCCTTGTATTCCATCATATCTATTTCTCAGAATGCATACCCAGATTCCAGATTGAAGAATTCCTCCTACTCCTGGTTGGGGCCTCCCAGTTGTAGAATCCTGTTTATATATATATTTTTTCAATGTTTTTTTTTCTTTTTCCTCATGCTACTGGGACTTGAAAGAACGTGTTAATATTAGTGTTCTGGCTGACTGTATACAAATGTTTCCAAAGGAGAAACCACTTTTTATGGACAGCTATATTTACAAGACTTTATTTACTTGTTTTCCAGGCAGGGATCTCAGTATTTGCTTTAGGAAAAGCAATTTCTCAACAGAAACTGTTCTCTTGACTTTAGCATCATTTTAAGGGAGGGGGAGGGCTGCTATGATTGCTTTATATGTTTTTGGTTTTGCTCTTTTAATATTAATGTCAAGTGATATTTTCTGTCTTATTGAAGACTCTAACTCCTTTGAAAACAATTTAGTAGTTTAAAATGGGTTGGAGAATTGGATCTGTAGTGTCTTGCTCGAACACACATGCTTTTCTTTATATAAGGGTTTACAGAAACTTAAAGCCCAAAGCTCAGAGACCAAGATGGCTGGAGTCACACTCTGACACCCCTAGCCATCATCAGTGTATACCACGAGCCTTCATCAATTCTCTGCCTATAAGTTGGCCTTCTCAATAGTCCTTTTCTCCCTGGGATGTAAGGTCCTGTAATCCACACAAAGACCACAGGGCAGTGTCCGCTTCAGTCAGTTGCTGCTTTCCCTAACACTTTATGCCAGGTAGAACATTCTTCCTCCGTTTAACATCATGCTCCAGAATCTCATTTTATCAAGGGGTTACGAAAAAGAAGATCACCATGCTTCGTTAAGAATGATATTGGAGGCTGGGTGTTTTGCCACATATCTGTAATCCCAGCACTTGGGAGTGAAGGAGGACCCAGAAATTCAAGCCTAGCCTTGTCTGTCTGTCTCTAGAAAGTTCAAGGTCAACCTGGGTTTTTTTGTGTCTCAAACAAAAAGAACCCTCATCACAACCAAATGAATGAAAGAATAAATGAGTGAATGAATGAATGAATGAATAATAAAATGATTTATGGGAAACTGGGTATGCTGGCATGTACCTACAATTTCAGCATACAAGAGGAAGTGTGAGGATGAGGACTTCAAAGTCATCTTCAGCTTTATAGCAAATTTGAGTTTAATCTCTAAGATCCCCATCCCTCACTCCCTTTCTCCCTACCCCAAGTAAAAGAAAAAGGACATTGGAAGGTGAAGAACAGTATAAAATTGTAGTCTTTTGAAATCTGAAAGACCGTGGAAATGCCTTTTCCCCCACAGCAGTTTTTGAGATGGACTGGGGACAGCTGCACATGGACGTTGGGCACTGTAGCCCATAAACACTGATGGAATGTGGGTAGGACCATTTTTGGCAACAAGACTCCCCCTACGCCTCCTAACTCATGTCTTCATACCTCCCTCCTCCACCTTGAGGAACTTTGCCCAGCAGCGATGCCAAGCCAAAAGCGCTGTCACTTTCATAACTGTATTTCAGCTCTAAACATGTTCAAGTCTCATCGTTGCTTTGTTTGAAAAGGCTAGCTAGTGACTCTCAGTGAGTGAGTCTCAGTGACTCCAAATACTGTCTGGGTTGTCACTGACAATCAGGCAATTGTCCCTGTGCTGGTGATTAATGGAGAATGTGACTGTTTTTGTTGCTTTTCCTCACTGCGACAAGTACCTGAGAAAAGCAAGAGAGCAAGCATCTTCCTCTACTTCCGGTTAGAGGCTTTAGGCCAAGGGCCCTATTGATGTAGTGAGAGTCAATAGTAGGCAGCCTGGCAGCAGAGTGTACGGTAGAGGAGGCAGCCATGGGTGGATAGGAGCCTGGCTGCGAAAACACGCCTCAAGTGGCTTATTTCTTCCAGTTAGGCCTTACTTCCTGAAGTACTTCATCAATCCTCTCCCAAATAGTGCCACCAGGTGGGACCAGGGTTTCGACACATGAACTCACTGAAGACATTTTATATTCAAGAATTATCGAAAAGTATGTGTTGGGGTAGGGAGAGGGTCTTAAGGTAGAAAATCGACCCTGAGCTGCTATCCGCCAAGGGCTGCAGGTATCTGAGAGCAAGGGCTGTTAGAGCAGAGAGGTTAGAATGCACATAGGCCTAGAGGAAGCCCTGCAGCAGATAACCGAGGAGCAGAGAGACCTGCATGGCTACAGGGCTGGGGAGAAGGAAGTAGAGGACAAATGATGGCTGTGTGGGACTTTAGGGCTTTTTGATTATACTTTCTAAAAGACAGGGTGACATGGATGGAGAAGGTTTTGAGCAGAGATGGGACAGAGAAGGCTTCAATTTTAAACAGTTATAGAGGTTGGTCATATAAACTGTAGCAATAACAGCCACACTAGGAGGGGAAGGTGACAGTGGCCTAGGCTAAGTAAGATCTTAGTCATTG